CGCACGCACGCACGCACGCACGCACGCAGTACAAAGTTTGCCCGTCTTCCCGACACAATGAGTTATATCTATATAGATCTATACCAGGGGTTAATAATGACAAATTATGTGTCATTAATGATTATTAACCCCTGATCTATATCTATATATATTATATTATATTATATTATATTATATATATATATATATATATATATATATATATATATATGAGACGAGTACATTTACAAACGTACATCAGCTACACAAGGACAGGATGAGTCGACGAAATTTCGGTTCGTTTTTTTCGGCAGCGCGCGGCGCGAGTGTATGGCTCAAGCAAGTAAAAGTAAGTAACTCGGCACCGCACGGATAAGTAGCAAGCCCACACCTCACCGTAGTTTCTTGTCCGGTAATTCCCCCCCCCCCTACTATATGCGAAACGCGTGCGCAACCCATGCTCTCATCACCTACGTATTATAAGGAGGGGGCATTTCCGGTGCTTACCTAGAAACTTCCTCTGTCGGTGCGGGAAGATTGTAATGACTAAACCTCATAAGCTTCAGGCCGATACTGACACGATCAACACACGCCGCTACTAACTCGGCCTGATATTCCGCGATCGTAGCGCGAATTTGGAAAAAAATAACAAGATCGTTACACGGAAATCTTTGCTCGTACAAACGAATTTCCTGTGTGATATCTAGATCTGATGTGATATGATAGATGAGCTTAGGTCAGCAGCGAGCATGGCGCAGAGATGTGCAGCGTAAAAGCTCATTAACGACTGCACTGCGACTGCTACGCATGAATACATAAATTACAAATTATAGTTAAAATATAGTATAATTCCGAAGCATTATATTGCATGGATGGCGTCACAAACGGAGAAAATGCCATTATAAATCCATATTTACTTATCAAATTAAAAGCTACTTGAAGCTAGGCCCTCGTTACGACATCGGGCGACGCGCAGTGTATTAGTATTTTGCTCACCACCGCGAGGAGTTAAGATTGTCTAAACTCCCGGATACCACGTTATGCTAGCCATCAAGCTATAATTGCAGTGCTAGAAAAATGAAGCAATGATTAAAAAACACTCTCACGATGTGAACTCTGAGTGAACTCTCGCTAGATCGAAGTGTAACTTACAGGCGAGTGTACTGACAATATCGTCGCTATTGCATTGCAAATATTTGCAGTTTAAACTTCACTAGTGAGCACCGCACAGCTTTTTGTCCGTCATTCAGTACATTTTAGAGGGCGCCCGACAAAAGTCGGCGAAGGTTCTAATTGTGGTTCTAATTGCAAGTTTACAGTAAGGCTCGTCGAAAAACCGAGCTCCTGACACTCACAGCTTACATGAGCGCGCGACCCATAAAGGTTTCTGTATATACGTGTAGTAATCACCTCTATAAAAACATTCATAAACACCTTACTACATACGTAAGCAGCCTTTACCTGACACTCACAGTAGTCAACGATTTACCCACTGGCTGCAGGATCAGGCTACAGCTAGTCTGACCACTGAATAAGCTGAATGCCATGCAGTGCAGATCGCTGCCAGGCTAGACAGACCCACGGACTGCAGAATCATGTCTTCCCGCTCACACTACTATATAATATCAGGAGCTAATAATGACAAATTATTTTGTCATAAAATAATTTGTCATTATTAGCTCCTGATAATATATATATATATATATATACATATATATATATATATATATATATATATATATATTATACATAGTCAGTGGTCAGACTAGGTAGCGATGCGCTTAGCCATCGGTCAGCGCTGTGAGCGGTCAGCCTGCACAGCTGACACCACATTCACGACGTGAAGGAATCGGAATGCGCGAATGCGGTTTGTACTACTGCACTGCCATCATGTTTTCCGAACGAACTTTCGATTTTAAAATTTAACTGTCAAACTGTAACCGCACGAACAACATGGGTACAGTCAAGTCTTCACTAACTACAACATTTCCTGTTTGAATGTTGATCGCATTTTTCCTGCGCATCACAAACAAAGTAGGCTCGTTCTCAGCAAAACATCGCGGGCAGTGGATTCTGACAATGTCAATGCTCATGAAATAAAAACGAGGATCAATGATGTCCAGCATGCACGGACCTACGGTATCCACGGCGATAAACTTATGTCAAATACATTGGTCTGTAACACGACAAAGACCTTCTAGAATACAGGGTTGTACAGGATTACCTGATAGAAAATCTCGCACACAGTCACTGTGAGCGTTCAGATCAGATCGAATCTCGAATTTTTACTGTTCATTCACGTTTCATTTTTGAACTCTCACAAAAAAACCATTTAAACACTCCATTTTATATTTTCACGTATCACTTATTGATTAGAAAATAAATTACCAGATAGATAGTCAGGACGAAAATGCAAATCGCACTTCAAGATTTAACCAGTTGTCTAATACCGAGAAATCCTATTTAAAATTTACATAAAATATGCATAAAATATTCCTGTACATAGTTTAATTCATGATGGAGTACCTTAGTATGTATATACAGCAGGAGTACTCGAATAGAATTTCACATTAGGTCATAAAGACCACATGATGACATCAATGCTCAGCCTCTGCACCTGTATTCATATTATTCCTATCATTCACTTATGAAATTAACAGTCCACGTTATCAATCAATAATGACATACATTATTTATTTAACACGGGTGTTTACTAACAACCTACTTAGTCAAGTGGCGAAGCCCTAACCGTGGGTGTAACTTTGCCAAGCACCAATGTTTTTCTCTCAATTACATAAACTATCATATTTAACACCAGGAAACTGCCAGTCATTTATACATGATTTTAATTTCCCAAACCTAAATTATATCACGTTATATCACGTTGAATTCAGATTCAAAATTAATTTAATCACCAATAAAATGAATCGCTCATACAATTGTAAGAAATTATAATCATCTGCTTACAGTAAACCTGGCACTTACAATAAAAACTGAAACATTTACGCTATATATATATCAAGCTAGAAACGACAACTTTCTTCAAAATAACCCGTAAACTTTGCAGCAGCAGAAGCAAGCTATCGTTCTGTTAATTCCAGGAGATGCCCCCCGAGCCTAACCCAGGTTAGGAAACACAAATACTACCCTCTATGGTAAAACCCAACCGTAAAACCATTTGATAATTTTGCACTGAGAAGCATGTCCCGCTAATTTTATTACGACCTTCGATAGTAACTTAGAACCAGTTCTTTGGAATTTCAGTGAGATAAGCCTTTGTCTGGCTTTTCAGCGTCGTATGCAGAGCTGCTAACAATGTGAGGGCGGCCAAGGTAACATCGTGTGTAACTTACACGGTAAGTTACTGCCGTACAGCAGACCACAATTATTTTCCATTACACACAGAAACGAGCACAGATTATACGCGAGATGCGCGTAAGCGAATGTTTGTTCATTCTAGACCAGTGGTTCTTAACCTTTTTTGAGTCATGGACCACTTTGAGAATCTGGTGAAAGCTACTGACCCCTCCCCAGAAAAATGCACATAAGGTGATTACGGACTAAGGATGACTTAAGCTGCAACTACGGACCCCCTGAAGCCTATCCACGGACCCCAAAGGGGTCCATGGACTACAGGTTAAGAACCCCTGTTCTAGACGGTGGCCACCACTTCCACATTGTAATGTCAACGACGAGCGAGAGACCCACCACAAGGTGCAGGTAAACGAATATTACGCTAATGTGTCAAAATACGTGAGTCACGTTAACGCACAGTACTCAGTAACTAGTTCACCCGCTAATCATTCACGGCAGACACAAACTACCATTTTGCCAAGGTGCGATATTATAATTCTGCACACGACCACAACTCACCACAATAGGCTGGACGAGTGAGAAATCAATGCTTGTTTTATAATTAACTCCTGCATTTTGAATTCAGTCGCAGTTAAATTTAAAATGGATTTAATTACGAAGGTGTTGGCAAAATGATGCATACAAGCCTAATATTATTATTAGCAGAGCTGTTGTAATGGTTGCTGGTTTCACCCAACTAATTTTACCACAGAACTACCTCGACTACACTATTACTTGTACCATAGAAAGCCACTTTACATTCTCTATAATCTTGATCGGTGTCTTTGCCTCTTGATATACCAGCAGATAACTAATATATTACACAGGTCAGAAACCTATAGAATAATTATCAGCCTATTAGATTGGCCACCAAAGTTCAGTCCTAACCAAATTAGTTCAGCTTTAATTGACCCTATGATTTCAGCAGTAATATATCTGTGGACGTGCAAGATCTATATACGAGTTATATTACTGAGAGCTCGCGTAGTTAAAAGGCTATATGAGTGGTAGGCTAAACAATACGGAGAACTTTACTAGTGCTCGTGTTAAATTTAAATTGACTACGTCACGAATTTCCCTTGCGTGGATATCTGGAAAAATTTTGTTCCAATTTGTTTACATTAAAAGTAAGTACTAACGGGACTAAATGTATCGACAAATTCCTACCTGATAAGTTATTTCTCAACTAGTTAAAAATCCCAAAAAACCTCGGCGATTTGGTATAATTATCACGACATTAAATTTATGCTTGCTATGGGCTATGTACGAGTCACGAGTGTTTGTTCACATCGAACAGAATAGCAAAATAGGAAGTATAATGCAGCAATTTAACCATAAAACGTGAACAGAATCACTTACATTTTGTGAAAAAGTGGACATAATTTTTTAACTTTTACTAGCTGGATTAAATGCCATGTAAATTGTAATAACGTATGCACCCGCACAGATTATTACACGAGTATCTATATAATCTGTTTACCAGTTCACCTTTTCACGTATGCCTGACATACATTACCTACCCTAAATATTTATCATCATGGCACCGGAATTAAATGCTCCAGTGACGCCAAGACTGGCCGTGCATCAAACTGATCCGAACTGGTAGCATTTGACACGAGGTGTGGTGTTTGACACATACATGTATATCTTTTACGATATGTTAGACATTAGTAATGACCAACCACACGGCAGACTGGTGTCACCGTTACTAGCGTAAACTTTAGTAATGACCAACCACACCACAGGCTGGTGTCACCATTACTAGCGTAAACTTTAGTAATGACCAATCACGCAGCAGGCTGGTGACGGCAGGCTGGTGTCACCGTTACTAGTGTAAACTTTAGTAATGACCAACCCCACGGCAGTCTGAAGTCACCATTGCTGAAGTAGGTATGACTGAATGATGTTGATGTCACTGTTGCCAGCATTAGCAGTAATCTAGTAATGACCAATCGCCTGACAAAATGGTATTACATGTAACTGCATAAGTAGTAGCGATGCACTATCCATCAGCATTTCGTGGTATTTGCTACAATGCCTACTGTAGTGTGTTGCCTCCATTACCAGTCTGTGTCGTAGCTGTGAATAATAGTCGAACAGCAGTATCACCAATACCAGTGTATGCTCTATGCAGCACGCTATGATGAGATCGACCACGGTGTCACCGGTGCTCCGACACACAGTGCAGTATAGACCAGCGTCATGGCGGCATACTGCAGTGTCTACACTGTTGGAGTGCATACTGCCGTACTATCTTGCAGCTAGTAGCTTAGAAGCAAGATGAAGCTTTTGATTCAATGTAGATGTACACCCTTGATCCATGAGTTGAGCTGATTTTGTCGAAGTTCCCCACCCATGAAGACATCTCATATTAAAGGCATCTATAGGCCACCTGCAACAACAATAAGAGAAAGCGCATTTCAATTAAAATACACAACGGCAGCTATTTGGTCCGACACTGTACGACGTTTCTCTACAGTCTACACGTTAGGGAGACAGCTTAGGAAAATGCAATTACTGAAATGAAACTAGTTGCCCTTTTATGCGAGTATATAAGATAGCGTATCGATAGGATAATGCTTCGCTTGCATAGATATACAATAAAAAAACGAAATCTCTGTAGGAATGCCTGCTCAACAGGCTCTTCATTAGGATCATGCCGAGCCAGTTTCTAAAATTGTGTCATGTCGTTACCATTGTGTGAATTTTCTTCTGTGAGCTTTATACTGTAGCAATGGGTGCTGACAGTGCCTGTATCTCGGCAGAATGTTGTATATAGAGTAGGCTGTATACTATAGCAGATACTAGCAGGTTGAATTATCTAGAACAGGGATGGGCAACTTTTATTAAATGTTGCCACAGATAAGGCAAATTCGTCACACCACGGAGGAATTAAGACACTGTGTTACTAAATCAACGAGTCAAAAATTTGTTTATTAAAGTTAGTAAATTTATAAAAGTTTTGTAAAATGTTGTCGTACGTGCAAAAACATGACACACCCAATTTCGCCACACTTCATCAGTGATTTCCACTGATTTGCCACTTGTGGCGATGATTTTCAGCGGGATTGTGACCCACTGCTCCAGCAGTTCATTGTGTATTGTAACAATGAATGTGCCCTGTGGAAATCCCTTGAATATTCTAACAGTATTACAATGTATTAGTATGTTGTATAATGTAAATATTACTTGAATACTTGTAGCAGTATTAGTAGTTTAGTACTACACTGTACAAGTTTGAAACTGCAGTATTGTGTGAAGGTACAGTAGCTCTTATCAGTTTGTAACAGTTTCCCCTTAGTGGGACACGTTTGGATTTTGCGATGATAGCGCCCCATCACACCCAGAAAACGAATCGTGAACAAGCTCGTTGTAAAAGCTAGAAGCATAACTTTTCTTCCATTATACTTTTATAAGTTTCCGCTTGTGAGGGACAATACTGCCGCGTTAGGAAATTTACTACACAATGTTTAGCATTTGGAATTACGAAAGAAAGCTACAACTTAGCGCCTCACTCACTGAGCACTTATAGTTATATGAAAATAGGATATCATATATATACAGCCTTGTTTTTCTCTCTCCCTATATTGTATCAAGAGTACATAATAGAGATGATTGTACATGATAGTACATGATAGAGATCTCTATTATGTACTCTTGATTGTATTTGTATTGGTCGTTCTCACTAGATTGTCATTTCTATAAAAACAGGCGGATTTATGTGAAGCAGCCAAGGCTAGGGAAGGAACCAGATTACATGTACATACAGAAGACAGAAGGCGGACATAACACAGATAAACGAATAGACGCGTGTATATTCACAGCTACTAATGCCGCTTTTATACTGGGGTTTATCCCGCTTCAGGTCCGAACCTGAAGCGGGATAAACCCCAGTATAAAAGGTCGAAACACCCTTAGCCCGAGCTAAAGTTATCCCGTTCTAGGGGGTGGTTCAGGTCCGCTTCAGACCCGAGCTAACGTCAGTATAAAAGGTATCTCGACTTTAGCCCGCTTCTTAAATTCCCCCCCCCACAAACCCTCCCCAACTACCCCATTTATACTGGGGTTATCCCGCTTCAGGTCCGCGACCTGAAGCGGGATAAACTCCATGTATAAAAGGTCGAAAAACACTTACCACCGAGCTAAAGTTATTCCACCTCAAGAGGTGGTTCAGGGTCCGCTTCAGACCCGAGCTAATTGTCAGTATAAAACGACTTATCCCGAGCTAAAGTTATCCCGCTTCAGAAGCGGGCTAAAGTCGTGCGCAGTATAAAATGACTTATCCCGAGCTAAAGTTATCCCGCTTCAGAAGCGGGCTAAAGTCGTGCGCAGTATAAAAGCGGCATAACAGTGTCAAGATAGCCTAGTCTCCGAGTTTCTAGAAGAGCAACATCTGTGAAAGGTCTCCTAACTAGGACCAGGACTCACTTTTAGGACTATTTGACTTCACTAGTAATGCAGAATTGTACATAAGAGAACTTCCGTCAGCTAGTAAGGGTATCTAGACACCCCGCAACGTATCTCAGTACACGCACGGCATTTAAATGGCTCTTATTAATTAAAGTGAGATCGGTAACCGGATAGCACTCGGCGGGGTTTGCACAGTGGCAGCGGCGGCAGTGGGAGTCTCAGTTTAGCTCTGCTAGAGGACGCATCGTGGACCACTGCGCGCCTGTCTCGCTCGACTTGCTTGGCTAACGGCCAGAACCTGAGCGCAAGCTCCCCCGACGTCTGAGTGCCTTTCAACGCTGCGACGCGATCAAACGGATAGCCATACTTCGCTACGGCGCTCTGCACTACTGTACGTTGACAGCTTTATTTCAACCATCACTCTTCATCAAATTCAGCTGTCATCTCTTCAGCTTTCATGCTCTTAATCAAATTACGACCCGGTCCCATGCCGGCTCGATACAATATACCAACATTATACAACGCCTTTGAATAGTATTCGGCAGTGGATGGCCGATGATGTCAAACACACTACGGACTGGAAACTGCAGCACGGTTGGTCGAAGATCCCAACAGTGTGCAGGCTTCCACAAATAGTTGAAATGCGCGATTATCTACAACGATAATTTATTCATACGGCTAATGCACCTGCGGATTGTGTGCAGCAGCGGCCTACGCGTGCACTCGGCGGACACTTGGCCACGCGCTGCAAGAAAGCAAGCAGCGGGGTACCGCTCGATAGTGTATCGATTAATGACCAGCGCATAAATCCTACAGATCAATCGATGCCTACTGTACACCCGACGAGTCTACTCTACCTAATTGGAACAATCGCTGACGGTGCTTACGTGAACTGTCAGATAGTGGGGGCACTGGGGGGCTAGCTGCTGACACGGGTTTAGCGCCGCCACGTGAGGGAAAACACGGCCATACATACGCGTCTGCGACCAGCAAGCATCGTATTTTCCCGTCGATGCGCCGCCCGCCGACCTTTGACACGAACAGCAAAGATCGTCATCGAAGTCTTGATCGATGGAAGGTCCGCAACACGCACGTACAGAAGGGAGCATTTATTTTAAATCTGTCGATACACCCTCAGCCAGAAATAGAAGCAATAATTGCTACGAATTACAACTGTCACGACGCAAGTGCCGTTTTTCCTCTCCCATGTCGCCCACTCCCCCAGCGACGCTCGCCGCACATTCACGCCTACGATCTTCTTCTTCGTGACATTGCAAAATTGCGCCCAAGGTTGCCTGTGCGCGTAGCTCATCGTCGCTACATTGTTAGCCACACACGGCCCTCAGTAATGTCATCATCAGCAGGCTTCAGTGACGCCAAGACTGGCCGTGCATCAAACTGATCCGAACTGGTAGCATTTGACACGAGGTGTGGTGTTTGACACATACATGTATATCTTTTACGATATGTTGCAAAATTGCGCCCAAGGTTGCCTGTGCGCGTAGCTCATCGTCGCTACATTGTTAGCCACACACGGCCCTCAGTAATGTCATCATCAGCAGGCTTTTTAAACCGTTCGCGTTGAATCTAGCCGCGGCTAAAAATAGTTCCTACTACGCGACTTACTGCACTCAGATGAGATTAAAAATGCATGAAACTAGTCGAGCGGGATCCGAGCAAAGCACTTTGGGGCACAGGGAGCCGTTGAAAATGCCGCAGTCAGAGGGCACGTGAAAACATGTATGCACATCGCACGCCGAGATTGAACTTCTCATGACCCCCACCCTCTGCCTGTCTTGTTCCCACACGGCATAATTACGCTTTCAGAAGAACCATTCTCCAAGGACGAACTACTACTATATGTGCATTTACTACTGTGCAGAAGCAGGCTACAGCACATATCAATAAATGATGAGGCAATATTAGTGGCGCCAATCAAGCCGGCCAGACCCAATTGAATTCCTCATTTTATGAATTTATACCACACGATAGTTTACAATTCCACATGACATTTTGCGGCAAAGATTAACTCGAAGCTGTAGTACCGTTACCCCCCCCCCTCCACCATCCACCAACTACTCAGTAAACTGCACGAAGGCCGCAGTGCATGCGTTTACTTGTTAAATGAACAAGGTTGCTTTTAACGACAAGTTGACGGTCGAATCCACGCGGCTGTTGAGTGTCCAGCATCGAAGGCGAGGGGGGGGGGGAGGGGTTCACGATCCACAGTGAACAGACGCCGGCCTTGTAGTCACTCCAAGATTTATCTAAACCTTCAAGTGACCCAGAAACACTACGCTGGGTTCATGGCAGAGTATAAGGTAGGTGATAAATAGTATCTAGTACGCGACAGGGCACTAAATATTGTAATTATCTAGTCGTAATGACGAAGGAAGGACGATCATAATGTAACGGGAGAACGCTTTAGCAACGTAACTGTAAGTGTAACACAATCTTAGATATGTACGCTGGCCATTACGATTTTCAGACACTCAGTTACGTTTCAACGAGCTGGATGAGACTTTAACTAATATTTCACCTTTTGCTGACAACAGAACTAGCCGAACTAGTGGTACAAAACAACAACTGGTTCCAGCAATTTATAGCTAGTCGTGCAAGTTCACTACCTGGTCACGAGCACAAGATGCTATTGTCCACAATGCTTAAATTTCAGGCTTGAAAATTCATTTACTATGAGAAGAATGGGCACTAAAGTTAAAACAGAACATTTAGTGCACACACTAGGCTCCTAGCACACGTATGCGTACACGCACACGGACGCGCACCTACACCAGTGTCAGGTCAGTATGTAAAACACCTTGCAACCAGTAAGGAATAAGTATAGGGAAAAAACACAACAGTACTGAGGTGGTCAATCAAAATCTTGCACGAGCTGAATTAGCACAATTTACTGCTATGAATGAGGTGTTAAGACAAAATTTGAAGCTATAGTGGCGCTCACGAGATCATCAAAATTCGAAA